ACGGAGAAGTGGTGCCTCGGTGCGCGCCCGGGATCCGAACCCGGGCCACCAGCATCAGAGCGCGCGCACTTAACCACCAAGCCACGGGGCTGGCCGCCATTCTGTTTATTGTCTGCACTGTCTCCTCTTTGAATCTGCCCCTTTCCTTCCCTTCAACCCCTTTCTCTGACTCAGCTTGCCTTTGGCCTTTTCCTTTTCAACCCTGCCCTATCCCCCACCTAGCTGACTCTGTCTCTCCGTCCCTGGCCAGGCCTCTCTGGACTCTTCGACACTGGCCTCCACCACGCGGGCTCAGCAGGGCCCGACGCCTCCGTCATGAACCTCATCTCGGCCCTGGAGTCCCGGGGCCCGCAGCCTGGCCCCTCTGCCTCCTCTCTCCTCTCCCAGTTTCGCAGTCCTTCCTGGCAAACAGGTAAGCCCATTGCCGGTCCAGGAGGGCCAGGGTGGGGCTGGCTTGTGGTCTGCTCTGACCTGTGGTCTCCTTCATCATCCCCAGCCATGCACACGCCAGGCCCCACGGAGCTCTTCATCTCAGGCGCTCTGCCGGGTTCCAGCACCTTTCCATCTTCCTCTGCCCTGTCGGCCTACCAGCACCCGGCTTCCTTTGGCAGCCGCCCCTTCCCAGTGCCCTCATCCCTCAGCCTCCAGGACCCCCCATTCAGTCCCCCGGCTAATGGGCTCCTGTCCCCTCATGATGTGCTGCACCTGAAGCCCTCACAGGCACCCACGGTGCCCTCCTCACTAGGCTTTGAACGCCTGGCGGGGGGCGGTGTCCTGGGTCCCGCTGGTCTCGGCCCAGCCCAGACCCCTCCTTACCGCCCTGGTCCCCCAGACCCACCACCACCTCCCCGCCACCTCCCAACTCAGTTCAACCTGCTGGCTTCCTCTTCTGCTGCTGCTGCCGCCGCCGAGCAATCCTCCCCACAGCTCTACAACTTCTCGGGTGCTGCCCCGGGACCGCCGCCGCCAGAGCGGGCCCTGCCCCGCCAGGACACCGTCATCAAGCACTACCAGCGGCCGGCCAGTGCCCAGCCCCCACCGCCTCCGCCACCAGCCCACGCCCTCCAGCACTACCTGAGCTGTGGAGGCAGCTATCCCTCTATGGGCCACCGGGCCAACCTGGCCTGCAGCCCCCTGGGCGGTGGGGAGCCCTCCCCGGGCGCTGGGGAGCCTAGCAAGGCTGGGCCCAGTGGAGCCACGGCCGGGGCGTCGGGCCGGGCTGCAGGCCCTGAGGCGGCCGGGGGAGGTGGGGCCGGGGGTGGCGGCGGAGGTTACCGCCCCATCATTCAGTCGCCTGGTTACAAGACGGGCAAAGGCGGTTACGGAGCAGCTGCGGGGGGTGCCAACAGGCCCCCACCGCCCCGTTCAACCGCCACGCCCAAATGCCAGAGCCTGGGTGGGCCAGCAGCGGCCTATGCCACTGGGAAGGCTTCTGGGGCTGGCGGCACAGGAGGCCAGGCTTATTCCCCTGGGCAGCCCCAAGGGCTTCTAGGACCCCAGGCCTATGGGCAAGGGTTTGGAGGGGGTCAAGCACAGGACTTGAGCAAAGGCCCTAGCTACTCAGGGGGGCCCCCGCAGCCCCCCAGCGGCCCCCCGCCTCCTGGCTTAGCCACGTGTCAGAGTTACTCCCCGGACCAGCTGCAGGGGCAGCTCTATGGGGTGCAGGGCGAGCCGTACCCAGGGCCAGCTGCCCACTCCCAGGGGCTGCCCACGGCCAGCCCCTCGCTCAGCTACAGTACTGGCCATTCCCCAGCGCTCTCAGGCCACGGGGGTGGCTGGGGGCCCAGCTCCCTGGGGGCCGGTGGAGAGGCCAGCCCTTCCCATATCATCCGCCCATTGCAGTCCCCACCTGCCCCCGGCCGCCCGCCTGGAGTCGGCTCTCCGGGAGCCCCTGGCAAATACCTGAGCTCTGTCCTGGCCTCAGCCCCATTCCTGGCGCCCCCAGGAGCCGGCAGCTATGCGGCTGGAGCAGGTGGCTACAAGGGCAAGGGGGACGGCTCAGAGCTGCTGGCGGGCCCCGGTGGGCCTCCCGCCGAGCGCACGGAGGATGAGGAATTCCTCATCCAGCACCTCCTGCAGGCGCCCAGCCCCCCACGGACCTCAGGGGCAGATGGCTTGGTGGGCGAAGATGGGGCGGCGGACGCCTCTAAGGGACTTGGAGGGAGTGGCGGGGCTGGGGGTCCCCCGGGCACACCCTACGAGCTGGCCAAGGAAGACCCCCAGAGGTACCATCTGCAGAGCGTCATCCGTACCAGTGCCAGCCTCGATGAGGGTGCCACAGCCGCCCTGGAGCTGGGCCTGGGGAGGCTGAAGGAGAAGAAGAAAGGGCCAGAACGGGGCGGCGAGACCCCTGAGGGGTTGGCCACCTCAGTTGTCCACTATGGGGCAGGTGCCAAGGAGCTGGGGGCCTTCCTCCAAAAGAGCCCGCCACCCCCACCTCCCACGGGCCAGCCCGCCCAGCCCACCCCCCACGGCCTCCTTCTGGAGGCGGGGGGCCCTGACCTCCCTCTGGTGCTGCCCCCACCTCCCCCCCAGCTGCTCCCCTCGGTCCTCAGCCACGCCCCCAGCCCCTCTTCCAGCGCCCCCAAAGTCGGTGTCCATCTCCTCGAGCCAGCCACCCGTGATGGGGCGCCCCAGCCGCCCCCGCCGCCCCCTCCTCCACCACCCATGCCTCTCCAGCTCGAGGCCCACCTCCGCAGCCATGGCCTGGAGCCCGGCGCCCCCAGCCCCCGCCTGCGACCTGAGGAGAGCCTGGAGCCGCCGGGGGCCATGCAGGAATTGCTTGGGGCCCTGGAGCCGCTGCCCCCTGGGCCTGGTGACACTGGTGTGGGCCCACCTAACGCCGAGGGCAAGGATCCCTCGGGCGCCTACCGCAGCCCCAGCCCGCAAGGCACCAAGGCCCCCCGCTTCGTGCCACTCACTTCTATCTGCTTCCCTGACTCTCTGCTCCAAGACGAGGAGCGCAGTTTCTTCCCCACCATGGAGGAGATGTTCGGGGGAGGGGCGGCCGATGACTACGGCAAGGCCGGGCCACCCGAGGACGAGGGTGATCCCAAGGCGGGGACCGGGCCACCTCCGGGCCCCCCTGCCTATGATCCCTACGGGCCCTACTGCCCTAGTCGGGCACCTGGAGCCGGGCCGGAGACGCCGGGCCTGGGCCTGGACCCCAACAAGCCGCCTGAGCTGCCCTCCACGGTCAACGCCGAGCCCCTGGGCCTGATCCAGAGTGGGCCACACCAGGCAGCCCCGCCGCCCCCGCCAGCCCCGCCGCCACCTGCCTCGGAGCCCAAGGGAGGCCTGACCTCGCCTATCTTCTGCTCCACCAAGCCAAAGAGGCTGCTCAAGACGTCCTCCTTCCACCTGCTCCGGCGCCGCGACCCGCCCTTCCAGACGCCCAAGAAGCTGTACGCCCAGGAGTACGAGTTCGAGGCCGATGAGGACAAGGCCGACGTGCCCGCAGACATCCGCCTCAACCCCCGGCGCCTGCCTGACCTGGTGTCCAGCTGCCGCTCCCGCCCGGCCCTCTCGCCACTGGGCGACATCGACTTCTGTCCCCCCAACCCGGGCCCCGATGGCCCCCGGCGCCGCGGCCGCAAGCCCACCAAGGCAAAGCGCGATGGCCCACCCCGGCCCCGGGGGAGGCCCCGGATCCGCCCGCTGGAGGTCCCCACCACCGCTGGGCCCGCCTCGGTCTCCACGCCCACCGAGGGGGCCAAGAAACCCCGGGGCCGGGGCCGCGGCCGGGGCCGGAAGGCCGAGGAGGCAGGGGGCACCCGGCTGGAGCCCCTGAAGCCGCTCAAGGTGAGGGGAATTGGAGCCCAGATGCGTGAGTCTTAGAGAAAGGAAAGGATGGGGGCCACACCTGAGGTTCTTGGGCGTGATGGAGGATACGGTTTACATTCCTGAAGCTTTTAGGGAAACGAATGTGAGGGCTGGAATTCCAGGGTTCTTTTGTTGGAAAGATCTGAGAATTGAAATTTGGTTCTAGAGGCAGGCAGGGAGTTGAAACTTGGGTTCTCAGCTTCTAGATCTCAAAGGACTAGTGATCAGAAGGGTCTAGATTCCTGGGTCTTACGGGAGGAGGGTCTGGAAACCTGGACTCCTGGGCTGTAAGCAAGGAGAGATCAGTGAGTAACGAGGGAGGGACTTCAGTCCTGTCATTCTGGAATCTGAGAGAAGGGGACCGTGGGCTTGAATTCTAGAATTCTGGGAATTTGAACTTTAAGGTCTTAAGTGCGGTGGGGGCGGGGGGCACAGGCTCCTGGGTCTGAGGGAGGGGGAGACTAGGGGCCCCTGACTCATGGGCTCTGACTCCCTACTGCCCCCATATCTAGATCAAGCTGTCTGTGCCCAAGGCCGGCGAGGGTCTGGGAGCCTCCTCGGGTGACGCCATATCGGGCGCTGACCACAACAGCCTGGACTCGAGCCTGACTCGGGAGAAGATCGAGGCCAAGATCAAGGAGGTAGAGGAGAAACAGCCAGAAATGAAGTCGGGCTTCATGGCCTCCTTCCTGGACTTCCTCAAGTCAGGCAAGCGCCACCCACCACTCTACCAAGCCGGCCTGACGCCCCCACTCAGCCCCCCCAAGAGCGTGCCGCCTGCTGTGCCAGCCAGAGGCCTGCAGCCGCAGCCCCCCACCGCGCCTGCCGTGCCACACCCCCCACCCACCGGCGCCTTCGGGCTCGGGGGCGCGCTGGAGGCAGCCGAGAGCGAGGGGCTGGGGCTCGGCTGCCCTTCGCCCTGCAAGCGCCTGGACGAGGAGCTGAAGCGGAACCTCGAGACACTGCCTTCCTTCTCCTCGGACGAGGAGGACTCTGTCGCCAAGAACCGGGACCTGCAGGAGAGCATCTCCTCGGCCATCTCCGCCCTCGATGACCCGCCCCTTGCTGGGCCCAAGGACACCTCCACCCCCGACGGGCCCCCCTTGGCTGCAGAGGCTGCAGTCGCGGGCCCACCCCCTCTCCCGGGGCTCCCCAGCGCCAGCAGCAGTGGCACACCTGGTGAGCTCTGGGAAGATGGTGTGGGGGCTGGGCAGAGGTTTCCTGTTATTCGGATCACTGGGTACGGTTGTTCAGGTTTCACACTGTTTAAGGGACACATTCATGTTGTTGGTGATGTAGATTTGCGTATTTATGAAAGTAGCTTCCTGACTGAGGGCAAACGAGTGTTTTGAGAAAGGGATGTCTTTTTTTAATCTGCCCACAGCTGCTAAGTAGACTAGTGGGGGCCCCAAGGTGGGCAGTGGAGAACGTTGGGGGACAGGGGAGTGACAGAGCACTGAGAGAACTTTTAAAACTGGTGGTGTATATTGGCCTGAGAAAGGCTCTGGGAGTTAGAAGTGTGTGATAAAGGACAGAAGGGTGTCTAGGGGGCAGAGAGACACAGGACCATTGACTAGTCAGGTCTTGGGGGCAGGAGGGAAAGGCTGGGGGTGCGGTCGGATCTGGATGGGGTTCTGTCTTGAGAGAAGCTTTGGACAAAATTTAAAGGGCTTTGATTGGGGGAACAGGCATTGGGGGTTGAAGGAGGTGGAGTTTGGAGGGAGACACTGGGGTGGTCAGTGAGGCACTTGAGGGCTCAGGGGGGTCTTAAGGAATGGAGAGGGCTTCCAGCGGGTTGTAGAAAAGTGGGAAGCAAGGAGTGAGGAAGCAGGAGGTGTGAGGCTGAAGGGAGACATCAGAGAAAAGATGAGAAACACTGGAAGGTTCTACATGGAGTGCCAGGGTCTGCTTACCGGGAGAGAACATCAGAGTGAGAGTCTTGGAAGGGTCAGAAAGGCTCGGAACTAAGGACCTGGGTCTGGAGAACCAGCACTTTTAGGAGTCAGGAGAGTTCAAGGCGATAGAGGGGAACGGTACAAAACCCGCTGGGAAGTTAGCAGGAAAGAGGGGGCGTTCACGGTCCCGAGAATCCAAGGAAGGCCCAGGAGGGGCATGGATGGAGGAGAATGAGACCTCTGAGCAGGAGATGAGGAGGTAGAGGCACAGAGGGAATGACTGAGGAATTGGGAGGAACAGTAAGGAGTGGCTGTGAGGCAAGAAAGAGGCATTTCAGGACTAAAAGGGGCATTAGGGATAGCAGACAGGTTTCAGGGGCTCAGAGTAGCCAATAGAGCCGGGAAGGGGCAGTCAGGGAGGGACTTTGATGTAGCAGAAGGGCTATGGGGGAGCTGGGTGGCTGTAAGGGGCAGAGGGGCTGTTGGCACAGGAAGGGACATGCAGGGACTAGAATGAGGCACTAGGGATGGGTGGTGAATGGCATTTGGGAATCAGGAGGCATGTCAAGGAAGGCAAGGAGCTTTGTGGGGACTAGGCTAGGGGCGGGGCATGGGAGAAATGACCGGGGTGGGGGACGGTTTTGATGGGACAGGAGATGACTCTCGGCCATTGCAAGGGGAACATTGAGCAATGGTATTGGGACACAGAACTACACTAAGAGCCGGGGTCTTTGGAGGCTGGGGAAAGATAGGCAGGAACAGAGCCGCGTGTCTGGGTGGGAAGGCTTATTTTAGGACATTGGAGAGAGAAGTTAGAGGGACGTGGACTTGTGGGTGTTTGGGGACAGGGGTGGGTAATGAAGGTCAAGGAGGGGACAGGGGACAGGTGAGCAGGGTCATACAGGAGCTTTGAAGAAGGAGGAGGGGCAGCAGGAGAGGAATAAGAAGTGGAGATGGAGGGGGATTGGGGGCAGAGATGGTGTTAGGTGAAGAACTCAGTTTGATTAGGAGGGATGCTGTGGTGCAGGGTTGGAGACAGCCAGGAAGGTCTGGGAGCGTCTTGCACTGACTGGAGATGTGCGGGGCACTGAGGGCCTGAGTGACGTGCGGGGGATGTCGATGGGCAGCGAGTTGATGCTCGGAAGCCAAGCCCGGGAGGAGGGGGTGGAGGGGGCCTCGCAGCCCCGACGTCCAGCCCTGACGCCCCTCTCGCCCCCAGAGCCCCCGCTGC